ATCACTGACGGGAAACTGATTATGTTAAAATCATAACCATATTGATCATGTTAATGTTTAACAAGGCTCAAGATTTATCAAATAAGTTAAATTTTGGGTTCAAAAATGGTTTCTTCAAGGCATTTTTTCAAGCCTGTATCTTTTAATATTTTTTCATTAAAAAAAAAATGAACAAATATGAGGCCTAACACAACTAGCATATTTAACTGAGCTGACAAGAGCAGGAAGAGTAAAAGTACAGTTACCTAATGTTTCATGTAGTCTTATTTCTTGTATTAAAGTGGGTTTTTTCTGACAAACAGCTGCTACTCCTAAAACTCCATCTTGTTCATCCATTGAAACATATAGTCTCTACAAAGTCACATGAAAAAAATATCATAAATTCATCAGAGCTAAAAAGGTAAAAAAAAAACCCAAAATGAATGATTAATACTATTAGACTACTATTTAAAATCATATTCAAACACCCATGGGCTATAATTTCTACAAGCAATACTGTTTTTAACTATTTTGTTGACATATCAAGGGTGGACCATTGCAAAAGATGGAATTCTTTATGACATCATCTTATGTTTGTAAATATCACATCCAAGGGGAATCCCACTGAGGTTTACACAAACATAGTTCAAATCTATATTAACATGATGTACTACCTGTATGTGCGTTGTCTGAACAGTCAACAGTTAACAAAATAGTAAATATTAAATCACCGGACATGTTTCTATAGGCTTTCAATATTGTACTCGGGGCTTGGTGCACTGATATCACTCGCGTGCTACACACAAAAATAGGAATCCCCAAAATATAGTGTTCAAGAAAATAAATCACTGAATCAAATATGTGAAAATATTTTCTCTAAAGGAAATTGAAATTACCTGCATGAAATCTAGATGATCTTGTAGATGATGGTCACTATTAGACAGATATTGTTCAAAATGCATCAAAGCTCTAGTAAAAGCTTTACAGTTAAAACAAGCTTCAGCTAGCTCATCTTGTGGTATTCTATCTAAAAACTTAGTTACTGCTTGATAACCACCATCTTTTAAATATGCTGCCTCTATAGATACAAACATTTTAGACTGAATAACAGTTTTACATTTTACTTTTCTTTATCTAATTTTCTGCATTCAGACAGACAACACCATGTTGTGCAAGGACAACAGTATTTTTTATTTCAAGCAGTGAAGGAATCTTTATCTTTTATAGTTTTAAGCACACAAGGGTGGCACTTGATTGGAGTGTTCTGAACAGGTTCTGTATGTTCCACTTCTGCTGCCTATCCCACAGTTTTAATGCCGATATATCACACTCAAAATTTTCCAATCTATTTCCCTTTACGCCATTTTGTTTTCTGTATGCACCTACTATTTTTTCAGCACACATGGAATGCATTCTGAATTCTGTTCCAACTTCTTTTATTGAATGTTCTGTTGATTCCATAAATCCCAAATGTGCAGAAATCACCAATCAAGCATTCTGCTCTTTCAAAACTTACTATCTAGTTCAAAATGGGACACTTTTAAATATCCTTACCTTTGGGATTAGGTTTCTCAGCAGCAATAGTTTGTGCTCTATGTCTTTTCCATTTGGTTAAATAATCAATAACAGAGAATATGGTCTGAGCACTCATATGTCTGAAATCACTAGCACTACCATGTCTTGTATCAGGTTTCTTAACTTGTGTTAAAACCTCCATTATCTCACTAAATACCTGTAATATCAAAATGTTTCAAGTTTTTATCCATAAAAATTATTGCGATTAAAATTCCTAGTTTGAAATATTTTTAAATGAATTATGTGATTTGCATACATTTCTAGTACTTCTGAAGACTATTTACATATTTCCAAGACTAAAATCAACCCCCAAAAATGGCACATCTGTAATCTGTATAAATGATCATAAAATGTTTCATTAAAAATAGATGAAATCTGTAGGCTATATTGTGCTCAGATGAAGTGTGAGACAGACCAAAATGGACGTCCACACCTCCATATGTTCAATAAAATAGAAGACACACAAACGATTTCACAAAGATTTTTACTGGTCCATTTTTAGTTGATCCGAAAAATGTGGATACTCTATAGCACAACAAAAGGGTTAACATTCAAAAAAATAATCTGCTATAGAAAAAACTAGGTAGTCCTAAAGTTAGCAACTACTAAGGAAAG